TAAGAATGTCAGACAGGTCTTGCTGTGGATATGGGAACAGTAATGATGGTTGTAGGATAAACTTTCAGTTGGGGCCACAATAGGTCATGATAAAATCATAGTGTCTTAGGATGCACATGTTAAGATCAATGTTTGAATTTTCTCATTGTGGAAAACTAGTCATTATTAAAGCTTTTCTTAGCATTGTTTAAAAACATTTCAGTAGTTCTGGAGTTCTTGCCTATATTAATGCTCCATTTAATATAAAATAAACGATGCAGTAATAATCTGGACGTTTGTGGTAAGAATATGATACCTGTTGATTTTTTATTTATTTTTATTGGAAAGGCAGATTACAGAGGGAAGGAGATACAGATTTAAAGATTGTGCATCCACTTGTTCACTCTCCAAGTAAATGCAGCAGCCAGAGCTGAGCCAATCTGAAGCCAGGAGCCAGGAGCCTCTTCCTGGTCTCCCACATGGGTGCAAGGTCCCAAAGTTTTGGGCCATCCTCTGCTGCTTTCCAGGCCACAAGCATATAATTGGATGAGAAGTAGAGCAGCCAAGCCTCAAACCGTCACCTATATGGGATCCCCTGTGTGCAGGCAAATTCTGGTTTCTGGTGCCCACTGGGCCGCTAACTGTGTGCCCTTGGTCTTCTGCTGAGCATCTCTGACACACTTCCCGCTTTGCAGAGGAAAGGGATTGAACCCTGCAGTGTCCTTCCCTGGTACAGGAGGACAGTGATTCTGCCGCCACTGCATGAGATGAGGCAGATGAGAGGCACAGGGTGTGTTTCTGATAGCTAAATCTCAGCACAAGAAGGAAGGCACATCTGCACTGGCATTCCAGAACATGATGGAAGGAAAGTGCAGAACGTGGAAGGGAAATAGAAATGACTTGAAGTTTGGCAATAACTTAGGTAATCTGTAGAAACAAAGAAATTGAAGTTGCGTCTACTCCCTTTAAACTCTTTCACTGGACCAAAAATATATATTAAGTGCTCGTGATCTATATCCTTGAAGAACTTACAATGTAGTAGATTAGTCACTCCTTTTCTCATTTTTTTAAAAACATTCTTTTTCTCAATTTCTATTGACCTGCATATTGTTTCTCGTTTGGGGGTGATAGAAGACCTGCTTTCTCTTATGTTGAATTAATATTTACTATATGGATTCCCATGTCTGAGCATCTGGTTTCATTTCTAGGCAGCAATGAACCCATTCTTCTTGGTGCTGAGTGAGCGTTTCTCAACCAACCAGGGCTGTCTGTGCTTCCTGAAGCAAAACGCTGACAGCGGCACAACAAAGCAAGCGGAGGCCAAGCCCTGAAGGAGGCTCCTTCCGGCACGGTCACGGTGCTGGTTTTTTTTTTGTGCCCAGTCTCTTCTGTCTTAGCTCTTAAACCCTTTATTACAGAGATACATTCATAAAAATGGTGAAGAGATGCTTCAGGAGGCTAGGGTTCAGTCAGCAGGAAGAACAGTGCAAATGGTAGGCTTGAACGACACAGCCCAACAGCGCTGGCATGAGAAGTCTGGTGATATCCTAATTTTATACACAGCTGGAAGAGTAAATAGAGAAAGTAATGTTCATCCTGAACAGTTGGTGCTGTGGTTTGACTACTTTAAAAAATTATAATCTGTGATTGGGATGCCTTTCTTGCAATACATAAAGGTTGTTCAGCCAAGTTCTGAGTTTACCTCTGGCTGTAATTAAAAACAAAGGTGGTAAACAGTTGGTGTGGCAGTTGGACACAAGCAGGACTGTGTGAGGAGGGTCTTGAAATAATTGGTTCCCACTTCCATAGTGAGATTGACAGTGTTTCAAAGCTGGTAAATTACTCTCTTTTGATGTAGTCTTTGAAAAACATTTGACTTTAAGGTCAATTTAAAGAAAGAAGCTTGCTTCGGTTAATCACACATGCACAAATTGTCTTTTGCAATAATTAAGAGTGGAATGTTTCAATTTTCTTGGAATGTAGTTACAAAAATTGAGAAAATTATAGATTTGAGTTATACTCAGTACCTTATAACAGGAGGAGTTTCAGTTCGGTCAATTTGACAAGTATGGTTCACCTTTGATTAGAAGCCCACTTTATTTTCTTATGTGTATGAAATCGCAGACCTGAAACTGCCCAGTGGCAGTGCTGGTTCTGCTGTGAAAATGAGCCAGTGGGAATGGAAAGGGCATTTGCTGGGGTGATGGGATATTCCTGGAATAACAGTGAAGTCCTGTATGTAATAGCTCCGTTGCTGTCCTCGAACCATGAGCTGACGCGCTAGGCTTCCCCTGCTAGGCGATGCCTGTGGGTTAGTCTTGAAGCTGTTTTCTTTGTGGTTTGTCTCCTCTCCACTGGGAAGCCTGGGCTCCCTTCATTTTCATTCTTCTCCTACCCTGGGGCTTTTGAACACAGAACCCCCAACCTCCTGCCACCCCAACTCTGCATTCCAACCCAGTGATTTCATGGTGCCAGGAGTATGTCCCCTGCCATGCTGGGAGGCTGCCTGCTGACTCCTGCAGGGGGAACAGACAGGAACATAAACTCCCCGCAGAAGAGCAGGACACTCTCTGTATATTTTTTAAAACCAGGAATCCAATTCCCATTTAGAGGCAGTATTTTTTTTTCAATAGCTCCTTGAAAATCGAACAAAACATTTCTTGTTGCTCTTATTTCTTGATGGTATCCTTCTCTTTGCACTGGTGACCAGGGTCCCAGAGACCAGAGAATGCAAAAGATGCATTAGATCATGTCTAGCCCATTCCCACTGCTCACAGCTCCTTTTTCCCACAGTCTCTCGTCTAATGCTTTTCTCTTCTAGTTTTCCCAAGAATTTGTTTCCTCCATTTCTCCTGGGGAATAATTTCTTAGTTTGCCCATGGAGGAATTTATATGGAAATATGCATTTTGTTTTTTTCAGCTTAATATTCCTGGTCTTCATAACCCTTTATATTACCGTAAACCATCTCCCTTCTTCCTAGGTCAAGTATTTCTAGATGATATTTTTTTTCCCTTTTCCATTTATTAAGTGCAGAGTTTGTTTTCCTGCTTTGCTTTCTCTCTTCATCAATCAACCCTAAAGGCCATTAATCATTTTTTTTACTACACTGAAAACTCCATTGCTTATTCCCATATCAGGAACCCAGAGCTGCCGAAGGTCCCTTGATACTGGAGAAGGCTCACTCATTTGTACTTACTCAGCTTCTCTTTCTCTCTTCCCCACTCCCTCCCTTCCCCTCTGTCTGAATTCTCAACTAGGAACTATTTTAAAAATAAATACTGTTTCAAACTGCAATTTGCCAGGTTAGTCATTTTAAGGCTGTGTATGTGTGAATATTATGTATTTCTTCTGACTTACATAAAAGATATTTTTCATACCATTAGAACCACAAGTCTCTGAACTCTTCCCCCAAATACTTGGACCCTGGAGTGATGATGAAGCATTCTGCTTGAAGGCTACCATCGTAGTAATAGGAAGGAAAATAGACTGTATTTGTAGGATTTTTAATTATTGGGAAATGGGAAATTTTTAATAATTGGGAATTGGAAAATTTTTTATGGGCATGACAGTCCCATGTCTCGAGTAGATTGACTCTCAGGAACTAGTACCAGGGTTAGTAAGATCTATTACTTCCTGGACTGGAGGACTCATTAGAATCAAGATGTTGTTTTTACCCAAAGCAATCTATATGATAGACTTATTTATGACATTTATGATTGATTTATGATACATTACACTCGAGAGTAGTGGGAAAAAGGGAGTCTTCTAAATAAATAATGCTGGATTAATGAGACATCCATACAAGAAGAAAAAAAATCAAATGCCTTCCTGACACCGTACACAAAAAAATCTCCAAATAGATTAGATATCTGAATGTAAAATAAAAATGTAAAAAACACTTACTTACACTTTGTAGGTAAATACATACAGATATTTTTATGACCTCAGGCTGTTGAATGCTTTCTTCTACTACATAATCTGTAGATAAAAGTTAAATATTTGGTGACTCTAAGAATCTCTCTTTATTAAAAGAGCTGTTGGGGTTAGATGTATGAATTTCAGTAGAGCACTGACCACAATTGCCTGCCACATAGTAGTTGGCCTATAAATTACAGATACAATTATTCATCTTTCATGCTGATTATGTTTAAAAATAATAATGATGCATTTTATTTATTTCAGAGTTACTTACAACACATTTACTGATAAATGCATACTCTTGATTATTCTCACTATAGAACATAAATTCATTCAGGAGAGAAACAGATTTTTTTTTTGCCATGTATTACATTTTTTCTTCTAACTTTCATGTTAAAACATCAAAATTGGAAGTTACAGATAAAGAAAATGAAAGAAATGTTTCATAATGTAAAATTATGATTAAAATTTTTTTGGAGAAATGAAAAACTAAGTTTTGTCAAGCAAAAGGAAAGAGAAACAAGAATGTCAAATAACTATCAAGAAGCGCCTTGGGAGTACAGTGGCTGTCCACTGGTTTCTAATCCAAGGTTTTGTACACTAAATTATAATATCAGCAACCAAAAAGAAAAAAAAGTAATAGCAGTAGTCTTTGGCCCTAATCCCATGGCCTTCACTTCCTTAATTGCAAAATAATCCTTAACTGCCTCTTTTATCTCCAGAGAAATTTGATTCTGGATCTGAAGCCATTCTTACTGACTACTGGAACCACAGTTGCATTTCCTTTTGGGAACTTCTGCTTGTATCCCACTATTTATTTTTCTAATATGACCATGGCCATGTTGATACTGTGTATCCCCAGTCAGATTGCATTTTATGAGATGCAAACCTGTTTTTTATACATTCATGTTTTTGAATGCTCCCTCTCCCTCCCCCAAAATATTTTATTTTCTACCCCTAATAACCCCAGCTTAGTGATTTGCACAGAGGAGGTCCAGAATAAATGCATAATGATGATACTCTGTTGGACTGCAGTTTGCAATAGGACCAGCTATCATAGCTATGGTAAGGTAGATAATAAGCTTGTTTCTCTTTGTTCCAGAAAGACTGCATGAAGCGAGTGTTTTCTGGCATACAGCCCACTGGAATCCCCCACCTGGGCAATTACCTGGGAGCTATTGAGAACTGGGTGAGACTGCAGGATGAGTATGGCTCTGTGCTGTACAGCATCGTTGATCTCCACTCCATCACAGTTCCTCAAGACCCCGCCATCCTCCACCAGAGCATCCTGGATATGACGGCTGCTCTTCTTGCCTGCGGCATAAACCCAGAGAAAAGCATCCTTTTCCAGCAATCTCAGGTCAGTTTCTCCAATTAGACCTGAGTAAAAATTTATTTTCAGATTAGGTGAGGAAATAAGTGAATGGTTCGTATTGCTTTTGTTTTTAATTATTCTCCCTCCCCCCCCCCGAAGAAGGCTATCTTCATCAAATACGATTATTCACATTTCCTATTTCACCTTTACTTTTATTTAACACGTTAGTACCATTTCCTGCACTCTGCTGGGTAAATTTCTACCCATCCATATTCCAAAAACGTTGTGTCTTATAAGTGCTACTGCTAAATTATTTTCCCTCGCTGCGTGGCAGATCGACACTTTGTACAGTTGACTAATCTTGTGATCAAGAAGAAAATTTAGTGACCCAAGGTTTTAAGTAACTCCAATGTTGCTTTATTGGTATTGCCTTTTAAGTCTATCGGACAATTCCTATTGTTCATTCTTTGTGTAATTGCTCTTGAGAAACTTGGATAAAGCAAATTGGGAAATTGGAAAATAGAGTCCCAGTGTTTTCTGCCTAAGCCAAGAAAGGCTGAAGAGCAAAGCCAAAATATTTCACTCATTTCTCCACTATGGATGAATCAGTTCATTCTTGTACAAGCTGATAGACTGGCGACAAGATATCCTAACACAGAAGGTGAAAGTTCAAACTCTAATGGCATGTCTGTTTAACCTTGCATCAGCCCCAGTGGTATGTCATGCTGGTAATGGTGCATGTTAACATGTATGCATATCCATTTCCTTCTTTGTTCATAAGCCTCTGTCTGTCATTGTTATTAAAGTTTTATTATTCACAGAGGTTAGTTAATGTGATGATTCATACATGGCAACCAGTTTAAAAATATGTAATAAACAATGAGTATGGCTCTCCAAAACAATAAATGCTGCCTTGTTTATAATATGGAGATAATGTAATAAGATCCTAGAAGTTTATCATTAAAAGGCCCATGAAGGCAGTGTACTCAAATACCTTTTTAAAAGAGTCAAGAAACCTTAATTTACACATGACTTTTCAATGTTGGACAGATCCAGTTGTAATAGAGCACTTAATTTATTGAGCAAACATCTGCCTCCCTATAATTTCTGTCCATTCAGTTAACTTTCTTCTATCTAAACACACGTAATGAATCAACCTTGTTTTCTACATGGTCACTTTTCAAATACTTGGAAGCATTTATTATACAGCATCCTTATCCACAGGTCCTTGTCCCATATTTGTTAAGTCCTTAGCTAGTGGATATTAACTCTGTCACCCTAGTTGGTCCCAGATCTCTCACTTGTTGGTCATCATACTTCAGAAGGGTTCTATTTTTTTTTTTAAGATTTACTCATTTACTTATATTGGAATGGCGCATTTACAGAGAAGTAGAGACAGAGAGTAAAATCTTCCATCCACTGGTTCATGCCTTGAGTGGCTGCAACAACCAGAACTGAGCTGATCTGAAGCCAGGAGCTTTCTTCTAGGTTTCTCACATGGATGCATTTGAAACTATCTGGCAAATTCGTTTGTTTTTGTTTCGTTGGAAAGGCAGATCATATTTACAGAGAGAAGGAGAGACCATTTAGTTATATATGTATTTTTAAATATTTACTTATTTTTACTTGAAATAGTTACAGAGAGAGAGAAGGAGACAGAGAGATTTTCCATCTGCTCATGTACACCCAAAATGTCCGAAATGGTCAGAGTTGAGCCAGCCTGAAAGCGGGAGCTAGGAGCTTCTCCAGATCTTTAACATGAGTCCAGGATCTCAAGGCCTTGAACCATCTTCTGCTTCCTTCTCAGGCCATAAACAAGAAAGTAGATTGAAAGTGGAGCAGCCAGAACTCAGCATATGGGATGCTGGCACAAAAGGTACAAAATTGGCCTACTTCACCACCACACCAACCCCCACTTGTCTATATTTGTAAAGGTTCTTTTATCTTGGGAGTTTTGCAAACCTTTAAGCATTTAGCTGATCGTTAAGTATTTAACAGAGAAAACAGTTATACATAAAGTTTTGGGAACCAGTGTCAGTTAAAGTTAATTACACCCCACCCACAGGGCACACAGTTGTTTATTACTAAAATTTGAATCTTGAAATTGTGATTAGGAGAAAAGGTTTAGTTTATAGATATAATATGCTCTTTTTAGACTTCTCCATTGTGTTAGGCAAACTACAGCTAAAATATATGGAGCTATTGTTGTACATCAGAGAAAGCTTCAGTAGCTATTTGAAATAGGGAAAGAATTTGGCTATGGTAGAATGCTGATTTTACCAATAATTTTGATCTCCAATCTTCTGCATTCTTTCTCAGCAGTCTGACTGGGACGATTTAGACTTACTGAGGAGTTTTCTCATTATTTTCTTTTTCTTTGTCTCTCATTGGCCTCTAGTCATGGTGCTTCCCCTGAAATATGTTTGCCATATGTGTGGAGTGTTACAGAGCTTCTCTTCTGGAAGGTGTGTGCTTTTGTGTGTGTGTTTGTGTGTGTGTGTGAGAGAGAGAGAGAGAGAGAAAGAAAAGAGAGAGAGAGAGACAAACATGAGAAAGAGCCCCCCTGTGTGATGCATGTTTGAAGGAGGTTTCCATCCTGATGCCAGCATCCCTGATCTTCTGCCTCCATCAGGCTCTCAGGTCTGTGTCCCACAAATGTCTCTGAAACCCAGCTCTCCACGACCTTGCCAGTAACTTTCACTGCAAGCCAAGCATGCTGCAGGTGGGAGAGAAACAGCAGAAGATTGGCTTTTTGCCACTGCAAAGAGCAAAGGAAGGCTTGGGCCTGCACATGTTGCCTTATAGAGGGACCGAAGCAGTCCAGCTCAAAGGTGAGGGAGGAGAATGGAATCTGCAGCTTTGGGATGTGGCCTCAGTCGCTCACTGAGTTGTGTTTTGTTTCCCAGGAAACTAAAATCAGTAACAATAGCAAAGAGGACTATGGGGGAATCCATTTCTGATTGAAGGCCAAGGGAACAAGCTGCATGAATTCTGGATTGCTGAATATAAACAGAAGCTGTACCGACTCATTTTCCATTCTCTTTGAGGTGAAAAGCCAAAACCTAAAATTGGACAGAAAATCTCATATTTTCATTCATCCTGATAGTTCTGGAGGCACATCTGAAGGTCTGTTTATGTCTACAGAAGAATCAGGAGTGTTTGACTACCAACAACAGGTGCACATTCTTCTCACAATGGAAACATCTATGTAGATTAATGCACTCAGAAAACTCACTTATAAAACTGGCATGATCCCCAAGGCTCCTGGTGCGAGATAAGGATCTAAATGTCCTATGCGTTAAAAGTTAGGAACAGAAAGATGCAACCAAACTCTTGATGGATTTCCCTTCTCTCAAACTTTTTGCTACAATCATATCCTTACCTAGATACATACTCCTAGATGACTTGATATACAAGTGGCAGTGTTTGTGACACCTCCTTCTTTGATATGGGAATAGGTCATGCCCTGATTATGCCTTCCAGAAGAGCTCTTACTAGCAGAGCAATAGTACAAAAATTACAAGTTTTGGAGCTAGATATACTTAGCTCGACTTTGACTATCACCTGTTCTTGGTTGTGACGCAAGGGGCAAGTTACTCAGGTTCTCTGAATTCCCAGATTAATATCTACAATAGAGATTTACGTAAGCTGATGCATAATGCCTGTCAAATGTTAACTTTTCGTCACTGCATCCCACTATGCATATACTACCCCCACCCCAGACTCCTTGATGTTATGAAGAATCTGTATAAAGGGAGAAATGAGAGGCAGATGTTTGACCTAGTGGTTAATATACCTCCGTCCACATTAATGTGCTTCTGTTTGATTCTGGCCTCTGGCTCCTGAGTCCAGCTTACTGCAAATACAGATGCAATGATGCAGCAGTCAAGGCACAAGTAATTGGGCCCATGCCTGCCCCCAGTATGGGAGATGCGAAAGGAGTTACTGCCTTACCTATTGTGAACATTTGGAGAGTGAAGCAATGGGTAAAAGATCTTATTTCTCTCTCTCTCTCTCTCTCTCTCTCTCTCTCTCTCTCTCTCTTACCTTCCCTTTGCCTCTCAATTAAGTGAATAAATAATAAATAAAAGATGAAGATAAAATAGTCAATTTAGTATGAATAAATAAATATTTCCAGTAATGTCTTCTTTAAATTTTTGCTTTTTAAATTGTTTTTATTATTTTCCATGACACATTTTTGTAGGTATAGAAATTCCTCTTTTTCCCTCCTTTTTCTCCCTCCCCATATCCCCTTCCTCCGTTTTCCCCAATACTATTACAGTAGCATAGTCTTTTAGTAACAATTATGAGACTGATATTCTGCGTTATAGCATTGCAGGTATATACAAAGATAGAAAGCTTAGTTGGGCCTGGTACCATGGCTCAGTGGCTAAATTCTTGCTGTGTAAGCACCGGGATACCATATGGGCCCTTGTTCATGTCCTGGTTACTCCACTTCCCATCCAGCTCTCTGCTATGGCCTGGGAAAGCAGTCAAGGATGGCCCAAAGCCTTAGGACCCTCTTTCTGCATGGGAGACCTGTAAGAAACTCCTGGCTCCTGGCTTCAGATCAGCTCAGGTCCAACAGTTGTAGCAACTGGGGAGTGAACTAGCAATGGAAGATCTTCCTTCTCTCTGTAAATCTGCATTTCCAATAAAAATATACATATTAAAAACAAAATTTAATATCACCTTGACAAGGTATATTTAACTGTTTCACGGGGGGAGTCCTAATTTTTTAGAATTAAAAGAAATATTTATTTTTTGCACAAAAAAATTGAAATCCATGCAAAAGGGTATTTTTTTTTACTATTTCGCCATTTTATTATTATCATCATCATTATTATTTTGTGATACAGTTCCATAGGCTCTGGGATTTCCCTTATCTCCCCCTCCAAATCCCCTCCTTCCACACAATGATTTCCCCTATGTTATTAAAATAGAATAGTTTTTCATAAACAGTCGTAAGTCCATCATTTTGGGCATGGACAATGCCAAAGAGTCTAGCATCCTTATTGTCAAGATATATTTAACAATTTCATTGG